GATGACAATAGTATCTAGTTGCGGCCATGGAAGTCCATGGCCACGAGATTGCTGGTCCCGCATGCAATAGCGTATCAAACCGTAGTAAATATGTGTACGAACTGTTGCATAAAGAGCGGGAGCCATGTGGGGAAATAACAGCGTATACCAAATAAGGAAGGCCCCAGGCCTTGTGTGAAGACATAAAATAAAGACGATTATGAACCCGTTTTACGGGAGATAGATAAATAATTAGACACCTAAATAAGGCATACTTGTCCTGTAGAGGCCTAAAAGGCACGTGTCAATAGTATGGATACGACATATTCCCCCCCCCCCCCCCCCCCCCCCCCGCCGGAGAGCACTCACAAATTCAGGCTGTGACGATACTGCGGATGCTTCTCCTGGCGGTAATCCAAATGCCAAGTCTTGAGGTAGGCATAACTCCCGACCAAAGAGTAGATAGCTTGGACTGTAGCCGGTACTAGTCTGCGGCGTCGAGCGGTATCCCATCAAGAAGGCTGGCAACTTGATGTCCCAATCTCGATGATTCCTGCAGACATAGTGCGCCAGGCCATGTTCAAGCGTCTGGTTGACTCTTTCAACCAGACCGTCACTCTGTGGATGGTACGCAGTTGTCCTGGTCTTATCTATGCCAAGCAGAAAGCAAACACTCAGGACTGCTACCCATCATGTCCTGCGGGCAAGGCGGAGAGTCCATACCTAGCCAGGACACTACTTGGGCGAGATCTGGGTCCTTCTCCTGTTCCGTTTCCCATCTTGACCACGGCCAGTTGAAATGGCGGATGAGGGGTGTGGGGATGTTGCCAACGTCATTGTTCACGGCCCCTACGAACAGCGTCGTCGGAGCGTCAGGGCGGCGTGACAGTGCATCAGCGTTAGCGTGTGATCGACCTGCCCTGTACAATATGGTGAACTCAAATTCAGACAAAAATTCCAGCCAGCGAGCCACAATCGCCGGTGGATTTTGAAATTAGCCAAGTGTTCTACAGAACGATGGTCGGTACGAATCACAAATTGTCTACCAAGCAGGTAGCAACGGAAATGTCGTACCGCCCACACGAAACCCAACAATTACTTTCTCGTGGATGCATACCGTGTTTCTGTATCGGCCAGAAGTCGACTAGCATACGCTATCGGCCGTTCCAGACCTTCCTGAACCTGAGACAGCACTGCTCCTAACCCTAGTCCACTAGCATCTACGTCTATCAGAAATGGTGATGCAACTTGCCCAAAGCTGGGGTAAGCTAATACTGGGGCGGTCGTCAGCACTGTCTTCAGATTTAGGAAAGCGGTTTCACAGTCAGGAGTCCACAAAAACACTTGGCCTGTTTTCGTCAGGCTGTACAAGGGGCGGGCAATGGTGGCAAAATCTTGGCCAAAAAGCCTATAATACCCACAGAATCCCAAGAAACCACGCACTTCTCCAACTGCTTCAGGGGTAGGCCAGTTTCTGACTTTCTCGATCTTACCCAGGTCGGTCCTAACCCCCTCCCGGGTAACAATGTGGCCCAGGAACTCAACACTTGTGCGGAACAAGAAACACTTACTGGGCTTCAACCGCAGATCTGCCTTCAAGAAGCGGTCAAAGACCAACTATGTCACTTTAGATTTCAGTTTCAACACTCCATAATCCAAACCCACAGTACTGATTGAGGCGGGGGAGGTAGAGAAGAACATCCGCCCTTGTCCCGAAGAAATTGTGCAAGGAATGTGGGATAATACGTCCCAGCCAACAATACAATCATGCGGCAACCCTTTTTATTAAAACAATTCTTACCCGGTGCCAACAGGTTGCATCTCCGAGTTCCAACTGAACAATTGCTGACGCCACGGCTTCTAGTGGGTGCCCGTTGGGGCCAATCAACTTCGGGCCTTGGTCAGAGGTTTCCTTTTCCAGCTCCTTAGGTAGGCGGTCGGCAAAATCCTCTGACAACAATGTAGCAGCAGATCCTGTATCAATCACAGCGTCCATGGGACATCCATTCACCGCTCGAGGCACCAACATGTCCGCATGCTCACTCGCATGTTCAAAGAAGACAGAACACATAGATCAAGCTATTGTTTTCTTGTAGCAGTCTAAGTTTTGCAAATACCGACTTCAACCCCAGGGTTCCACTTCCCGAGAAAATCTACAAAAGCAGATGCAAACGACCTCCCGTCTTTTGCAGCACAGCCTTGAAGCTGTGCTCGTTGTTAATAATGACAACTCCCAGAGTAAGTACTCCGACAGACTGAGAACCCGCAGAAAAGGGCACTAGACTAGAGCCATTTTGTCGCTAAAGAGCGGTAATAGCATCAGCTACATCCCAGAGGCTAATTCATAGGTTTCTTCTGAGAACTCGCAAGGCCTAAGGCTCAGCAATAATCAGTCTGCAATCAGCCAGGTAGCAAGTGCTGCAAAATGCGTCAATTTGCAACAAATACAGACTGGTGTATTTTTTCCAATTCTTCCTTAGGCCACCCTTTGTTAATTCATTGTTTAACGTCCTTTTTTTAGCGAAAAGGTACGCGGGAGGGCGGAAAAAAAACAAAAGCCCATTCCAAAAACTGGAAACCCCAATCAAACATTTTGACCAGTAAAGCATGTGATATATACAATATTTCTGGGTCTAACAGCACTTGCAGGCATAGAACAACACTCTTTGATGGTACATTGGAGCACATGCCTGATGAATCCAACAAAACAGGTACATAGCATGGAGTTAGCATGTCATGAATTCATTACATCTGGATTTTTACTAGGGCACACACCGTACGATATTTAAAAGCCAACAAAAAAAAGAAAAAGAACACAAGACAAAGTCAAAGGCATGCCCGGGAGGTCATGATCGGCACACTGTGAAACTACACAATCATGTATTTACAACTTCGCATATTATTGGTACTACTACTTTCTTGGTTTTTTTCCGGTCGGAGGCAAAAAGGTACGCGGGCGCGGACGTTAAACAACGAAAAAAGAAAGAGTGGCCTTACCGGCAATACAAGGTCAGGGGACCAGCGAGGATCGCACTGTAGGGGCGTCGATTCCACTCCCACCGATGGGGTGGTAGAAACCCTACAGCAGGCTTCAGGTACAATAGCTGCATGAGCATGAGCGGCTGCTGAGACAGCGCAGGAGGTAACAGCAGCTCTTTTTCATAGCACCTGCTGAACCATAAGGTCACAAACACAAAACCACAAAAAAAAAACACAAACCCCTAAGCACAGCAGGAAAACTGCTGCCACTGTGCCAGCTTCGTCATACAGGTCAAACTCTCCATTGACGCCATGATCAAACCCTTGACTTGGCGGCGCTCCACATCTGTTTCCAGAATGCGAATGTCCATACCAAGTGACACAAACCAAAACAATGGATTTACGACGCCACGTGGAATTGTCGTCAAACTTACGACCACGAGAAACAGCCCAAGAACAACCATACCTTCTTCTTGATATCCTTGAGATCTCGTAGAAGTCCGGTCATTCTCGGATCGGGCAGCGGAAAATCCATACTGCCCGTCCATTCGAACGACCGGGGCATCACAATGTCATAATCATCAATGTCTCTCTCGTTGACAGCACACAAGGTGTCGAATCCTGTTCACTGCGCCAAATGTCGTATCCGGTCGGCCCGGGGTTAGACCCCACGGCTGCGGTTCGACGACATGAACTAACTTACTAAACCTTCACATTTAATTAGGGAGGTTCCGGAGTACGATTTTTCG